GTCAGTGTTAAGGGCTCAGCAGAAAAAGAAAGTGGAATAGGAGGCCAAGAGGGACAGGGTCAGGGAGCGCCTAGTGGTAAGGGGGATCTTTCTGGAAAGGAGGTTTTGAGGTAGGTTGAAGTTGGAACATCATACAAGATTTTCCCGGGTAAACCCTTCTGGTGGAAGCTCTTGGGCGCCCAGAGGGGCATCTGCTTTGCTGAGGCTGACGGGGGCAGAAGGAGAGACCCAAGAGAGCAGCTCGTTCCTCAGCCCCTAAGAGGAGAATAAAGAAACCCAATATTTATTATTCCCGACCGCGGTCTGGCATTCTGTCAGCACCGTTCTCATTTAACGCTGACAACTCCCTATGAGATATAAAGCATTATCTCCCCCTCCCGCAGCAGAGGGGAGGCTCAGGGATGACCGGCAGCTGGCCAGGGGTGCCCTTCATGCTTTCTGTTGCTCCCTCCCCTCCCCTTTCGAAGGACTCTGGCCTCAAATCGCTTGCTTTCGGAGATGCCCTTGGGGAACCGGAGAGGACCAGCACCAGAGGAATTACTGCGACAGGGAAAAGCCCTCACGTTCCCACAGGTGGCACCTGTGATCTCCGGGTGCGGGTGGGCCAGGCTGGGAAGGACTCGGTGACATCACTCTGCCTGCCTGTTCGCAGCCTCGCGTATCTCGACACAAAGCTGAGGCAGCCGCAGGGCTCCGGCCAGGCGGTGCCGAGGAGACCTCGCATCACCTCGGCCCGCCCGCGTCCTGCATGTGGGGCCCGCCCACCCTCCCCAGGGAGCCACCTGGGTGGGGAGCAGAGGGAGCCCGAAGCCACGCACACCTTATCCTCAGCTAAGCTCCGGGATTGCGAAGTAGATTAAGGGCATTCGCTCACGAGGACGCCTACTTAACCTGGATCCCCAAAGATCCGGGCTGCTCACCAACAAAGTCTCGGGCTCCGGAGCCCCGCGGGGAGCCGGTGCGGGGCGGGGCGGGGCGGGGTGGCGGGGCCCTTCCTCTCCCGCCGACTTCCTGCCTCGTTATCAGCACCGCCGCCAGGGGGCGCGCCAGGGCCGGACGACGGAGGGGCAGGCAGGCTCCACGCGCCTTTCTGTGGTTCCGTGGACATTCGTGGCTCACCTAGGGTGCTTACCCGGTGCAGGCTTCTGGCGTTTCCAGGACGCCACCTCTATGAGTTTAAAGAAATCTTGTTCGGTGAATACCTGTGCCCACCGCCCACGCTACGGCCTGTGTGCTTCTGGGCTGTCCTCTCTGGTTGTCCAGCCTTCTGGTGGCTTCCAAGGAGCTCGCTCGAACCGTTCTGAGGCTCCTATAGCTCTCAGGAGAAAGTTAAAAGCCCCTCTCTCCCTTGAGAGACTGTGGAGCCTCCACGCGCCCCTTGTGCCGCTCCCCGCCCCCACCCCCCACCCCCGTTCTCTTAGGCCCCCTGGGCCGGGGCACCTGCAGCATTCCCCTCTCTCTTCACCCTCCCCGGGCCGGTCTGGGCGCCAGGTTCCTAGGCCCCTGAGCAAGCTTTCGGGCACGTTCCAAGCAAAAATGAATAGCACTGCGCTTCATCGGAGACTTCCTCCTCCCTCCCGGCGACAGACGGGTAGCCCCCTGCGGGCGGGCGGGGGCCTGGCTGCTGTAGTCTTTGTCTCGGCGGCGCTCCGCAGGGGACCCGGCCAGCGGCGCTGAATACAGAGCTGCCGACGGCGTGTTGGGCGGGGGGCGCACATCAAAAGCAACCTCGGGGCCACGAGAGAGGCGGGGGTGGGGTGAGGCCGGGCAGTCACCCGGCAGCGCCGAGCTCCCTGATATTCACACACACGACACCGAGGGCAGCCCACGTGCCAGTCCTCAACTCCCCGGGCACCCCCCCTCCCCAGGCCCTCCCGCCTTCTTGGCCCTCTTTCTAGAGGCCACCCTCCCATTCAGGGCGGAGGGCTGGGGGGCGCCACCTCAGCCACCGGAGCTGGTCTTGGAGCGAATTTAACCCTTTCCCCCCCATCGACTGCAATCCACCCTGAGGTTCGGGGTGCCTAATAAGAGAGAGTGTTTCCGCTGGCGACACGTGGCGCGGGGGCGGCCTCCCCCTCCCGGGTAGGGACCATTTCTGTGTCCTACTGGCAGCACTGGGCCGGTGGGAGGAAGGAAATTAAGCCTGTGTTGAAGGAAGGACACCTGGCAGGGGAGGGGCAAGGGCTCAGGAATCCCCTCCTCTGGGGAGCTTTCAAGTGGGGGGAAATCCCCACACCAGCTTCCATTCTCCGGGTCCCGTGCAGGCCACGAGTGGGTTCTCACACCTCCCTGCTGGGCCTCCCTTCCCACCCCCCCAACTTCCCCAGGCTGTGCCTTCAGCAAAAGTTCATGATTCTCTCCTCCCACCCACTTGTTTCCCCGGCTTCTCTTCCCTTCCCTGCTTCAAGCTCCTGACCTGAGTCTCGGGGTGCTCCCAGGCTGCCTGGAGGAGGCATTGGATCTGAGTGGCCCTTCAGAGAATGACCAGTCTTGCCTAGGCTGCCCAGGCAAGGCCAACCCTCAGCCCACCCACAGCACCCCTGGATCTTTTGCCACCCAGGCATGGTACTTATGGTCCCTGAGGGCCCAGAAATGAACCCAAGAGGCCATCTAGCCCAGCTCCTGCCTCCTGGCCATGCTGAATCCACAATGGTCTCTTGGTGGCGAGGGAAGGGAGCCCTGCTCAGGTCTCGGAATGACAGGTATGGGCTCCGGAGCCTCCGAAACTGCCAGGCAGAAGGTGAGATCCCGCAGGCTCCTCTGATCAGAAAACCAGGGGAGTCCCTGCTGGGCAGGACAGAAAGGGGGTAGGACCTAGCAGGCCATGTGGGGTGTATGGAGGGCTCTCTACTCCTAGAACTGGGACCCAGGGCTCCACAGTCAGTGATTATGGCAAACCCACCATGACCCTCTTTCCAGGTCAATCAGAAACAAGGTACCCCAGAATTAGCCCATCACGGGGGCATCTCTAAAGGATCCCCATCTCTCCAGCCTCTGTCCCAGTAGCCATTCTGGGGCAGGTTGGGGCTTTTTCTCCGTTTTGGTCATCCTGCCCCTCTCAGCCCCCCTCCTTCCCTCCTCCCCTTCGCTATCCTCCAGCTCCCCCTGCTAATCTCCTGCCCTCTTCTCTCTGTATCGCTGTCTCACAGTTTCTCTCTCTCTCTCCTTTCTTCACTCTGTTTCTCCCTGTTCCCCCCTTCCCTCCTCTCTTTCATCTCTCCCCCCACCCCACCCTACCCCTCCAGCCGAGCACCCGGCTAGGAACGCAGCAGGAGCCGTGACAAGCCCAGGCGGCGCTCCCGACCCTTGGTGCCCCGGGGCCAGTTCCCCGAGCTCCCCGCGCCCGCAGCAGCCATGTGGGGAGCGGGCTCTCAGGATGGGCAGGGGCAGCAGGTTCGAGCTGTGGGCACGGGTGGCGCAGATCAAAGGCCAGGAATGTCTGGCCTCTGGCCTGGACTTCCTTGGGCGGTGCTCCCCACCTGGTGGAGAGATGGCCCACCACTCCAGGCCTCCTAGGGTCTTGGGGGCAGTTCCTTTGCTGCCCCTTCTGCCCCTGTCCCCTGAACAGTGGCCCTTGTCCCCCATCACTGGCCTTGCTTTCTTTACCCCAGGCCCAGGGCTGCTCCAGGGTCCCGACTGCCTCTGGGGCTGTGGGTGGCCCTAGAGAGGGGCTTGGAAAGCAGGTCGCCCAGGTGACAGGGGGCAAGTCCCCCAAGAGTGGCCTCCCTCTCAGCACCACTAAGGACTGAGACCTAATTCTTGGACGCTGGAGAGGGAGAGGACAGAAAGACCCCAGGCGCCTGTTATGGGACTTTTTCCTATGGTGGGAGATGGGGGTGTTGGATACATTTGACTTCCACACAGGCAAAGGACCGGTTATCACCGAACCCCAGGTGGAAGCTCAGGCAGAGACTTGGGGGGAGGGTTCCCCGGGCAGGCAGAAATGTCTTCGGAGGACCCCAGCTGCTCCCTGCTGGGGCTACTACTGTGTTTCACTGGCCCCAAACGGTTCATCCCTGAGATCCAAATGGGACTGCGGGAGCTGCTTCTGACCCGAGCTGGAGGCCGGCCCTGAACCCCTCGAGGAGGAGAAAGTGACCTGGCTCCGCGAGCAGGAAATGCAACTGGCCGCTGGTGTCAGTTGCAGGAAATGCAAAGGCAGCAGGAGGTCCCGATACCGATCTGATCCCTGACAAAAGACTCAAATGACACTCAGCTCCGTCCCCCGGCGCCGCCCGCAGCCAGACCTTCGAGCCTCCGCGGACCCTTCCGCGCGCCTCTCGGACACCCGGGAAGCGACCTCCCGCGGCCGGGGTCGAGTGGCCGGCAGGCTCGCCGGCCCCGAAGGCTGCAGGCTGGGAGGGGTTGTATTTCCCAACCCTCTCCGAGACCCTCGGATCCTGTCTTGCCCGAGCGAGGCTTCTGGAAATATCCGTGTGCTTTCTACTCTCGATTTCTCACGCGCCCAAGTCCAAAGGGGTCACGGTCCCCCGAGAGAAAAGGAGCCACCCATCAATGCCCACGCCAACCCGGCACCACGTGAACGCCCCCGTCAAAGCCCCAGCTTCTTCAACCTGGCTGGCTGGGGGCGGCGGGGGGTGGGGCGCCGCGGCGGTCCCGGGCCAGCAGAGGGTCCAAAGTGCCGCCCCCCCAACCCCAAGTTCCCACTGTGTCCGGGGCGCGGCTTTGCCCAAGTTTGCTGGGCGATGCCCTTCCCCGAGCCCGACTCGTGGGCCGGGCGGGAGGGGCGCGTGATTGACAGGCTGAACTACAGACTCATCTCTTACCTTAGGCCGCGGGCGCTGATTGGCTGCTCGCTGACATCCTCAAACCCGGCTGCTCCGCGCTGGGCTCGGGAGGGGGGCGGCTGCGGGTGGAGGTGCGCTTCTGACAAGCCCGAAAGTCATTTCCAATCTCAAGTGGACTTTGTTCCAACTATTGGGGGCGTCGCTCCCCCTCTTCATGGTCGCGGGCAAACTTCCTCCTCGGCGCCGCTTCTAATGGAGCCCCACCTGCTCGGGCTGCTCCTCGGCCTCCTGCTCTGTGGCACCAGGGTCCTCGCCGGCTACCCAATTTGGTGGTAAGACTCGCCTCTTGTCTGCCCGCGGCCCGATTTCTCCGCCGAGTCCCGGGGAGGTGGGGGGCGCCGGCCGGGGTGGGCTGCGGCTCCTTTCTCCTTGCCTCCCTCCAGCCCCCCACTCGCCCACCCCTCCTGGATTTTCTGCTGGTGTCGCCTTCAGAATCCAACTCCTGGCTTTTCTGATAATCACCATTTTCCCTGCTACTCGCTGCAGAGGCTGGAGGACTTTTCCCGGCTCCGATGGTCTCTGATTCCTAAATCCTCACCCTCCACCCGTCCTCATCTGGGGGCCCCGAAGACCCTCCATTTGCTTGCAGTTGGGTTTCTGGAAATCCAGCGTTGTCCCTGGGGCCCAGCCACTCCTCTTCTCCATTTTGGGGTCTTCATGGGCAAAATCATCCTGTTCCTTCATTGCCACCCCCATCTCCGCCGGCGCCTCCATCAAGAGATTTCCCCCACAATAACCCCCTTTTGCCTTCATATTTCAGACCCCGATGGCTTCAGGGAACCCTGGGGCAGGGGAGCAGGCCGGGGGGTGGATTTCATCAGATTCTCCCCACTCTGCTCCAGATTAATCTTGAGCCTCAGAAGTGAATATGGTATTTGCTGATCCGAGATGCCATTGAATTCGGATTTTATTCATTTCTTGTTTGTCCATCCTGGCAAAAGGGGGGGGCTCTTTGAAAATGTAGTTGTCTGGGAGGGGGTGGGTTTGTTCTTTGACCAAAAACCCAATTCTCCACGTCAAATTCGTTCCTTTTGGAAAACCGAGGACCGAGGAGAAAGGGAGAGAGGGAAAGGAGAATTCTATCCCTGAGAAATGCGGATACAAAAGACATTTTTAGTAAATAAGGCTGGGAAATCAGGCGCGGTGTTTTGGGGGGGGTGCGTCTATGGAGGGGGAGACTGACCAAGGAATAAACAGCCCTTTGGGAGCCCCAGTTCCAGGGAGTCCCCTTGTTTTCCAAGCAGCCCCACCGCCCCCCAGCAGGTCCCAGAGGCCAGAGGGGAAAGAGACACTGAAACCAGTTCTCTAAATTATACCCCGCCTGTCCTCAGTCTCCAGCCCCCTGCATTCCGGAAAACTTTAATTAAAGAATCTTACCCTCCTGGACGGAGAGCCTCGGCCCAGGGGGTGGGGGGTGGTGGGAGGGTGGGAGGTGAAGAGGAAGAATTTGGGATCCGTGAGTAAGAAGAGGGCCTGTGGCCCCTGAGGTTAAAGTCAGAGGGGAAGGCCACCAGGGTGCGGCGCCCCCCTGCGCATCCCCCTCTCTCTGACCTGCCACCCCATCTCCAGCCCAGCTAGGGGGAGCAGAGCCAGCATGATTCCGGGGCCACACCCTGAGTCTGCCTCCAGTTGCTGGGGTGGGGGGCCCAGGATGGGGGCAGGAGCAGGGCATGGCCAAGGGTCTGTGTGTAGAGGGTTCTGAGAGTTGCTCCCAGTACACACACCCAAGGGAAAGTCTTTCTTCTGTCCAGCCCTTCCTTCCCGCGGCTTTGGGCTGGCCTGGGGCCTCCTGTACATAAAGAAGTCCGAGGGGTGGCGGGGGCAGCCAGGGATTCCAGGTCAGGGGCTCTGCCTGTTGGAGGAAGACTGCTGCCTAAACCCATCCCGCCTTTCCAGCCCTTTCTGACCCTCTTTGCATCCCAGGGCCAAGGCCATGCTGTTCTTTGCCTTCATGGGGACTGGTGGGGGGAGGGTATGGAGAGAAGGCTTGGAGCCCCACGGGCTGCAGGGGTGAGGCAGGAGTAGAGGTGAGGAAGAGGCCGGTTCCCTTACCCTATTTACTGGAGGAGGGCACTTCCTGGGGCAGTGCCTGTGGGGAAGGGTTGTGGGGAGGGGGCAGTCTGGTGTGCAGTCGTGTGTTGGGGAACACCTAGATAGCAAGATGTTGGAAAAACCTGGAAAGCCAGGACATCTTCCCTAATGTAATGCTGGACACATGGCTTGTTTGGGGGCTGGTGTTGGGGGGTGGTGCAGGGGGAGGCCAGGATGCTGCTTTGTCTGAGCAGAGGAGAGGGGTGTGTGTGTGTGTGTGTGTGTGTGTGTGTGTGTGTGTATTCTAGGGCTATGATCATAAGAGGTGTCAACCAAATATGAGTGTGTCTCTGTGTGTGGAGGAGTCCATGCCCACACCTGGGCCACCATGGATGTGAACTCACGTGAGATGGGGGATCCGTGGGCATGAACGGGTGTGTTGCACCTCTATACACAAGTGTCAGCAAGTGGCTGATTCTAGGATTTTTGTGTGTGTGTGTGAGAGAGAGAGAGAGACAGAGGAAGCCTAGAAGTGTCTATGCCCACGTAAAGGTCAGCCCCTGTGTCTGCTTGTGACGCTAGGCATGACTGTGTTCATGACTGGGCATGTGAGTGTTGTGTGTGTCTGCGCATACGCGTGTGTACGTGCGTGTGCGCACATGCCTTCACGACAGTGTCAGGGGAAGCCCCACAGCTGTCTTTGTGCATGGATATCAGTGCTCATGGCCATGACCTGATTGTGTTTGGAAGGAGGAGTAGGAGGCTGTGTCTGGGTCCGCCTGGGACCCCGTCCTCAAGTCCCCGTGGCTGGCAGGGCCCTGGCCTTGTGGATATGTTTGCAGACCCACGACTTTCGGGTGTGAGTGACATCCTGAGCTTGGGTGCTTGGTGGGCAGCTGTGGTCCTGGAGGGGTAGTCCAGCAGGAGACAAAGGTCTAACCAAGAAGCTGCGAGGGGCCCCGCTGACCGAGGGTCCTGGACTGGGCAGTGTCTACGCAGAATACAGAGCCCTTCTTGGCATGAGCTTATCCTGTCTGTCTGAGGACAGTGGTCACAGCCCTCCCCTCTTTGGCCGTTTGTCTTTGGGCTTGGAACTGGCATGGAGGAGAAGTCACCTTCTTAGAGCTGGGACCAGGCCTGGGACAGGGACGGCAGAGTGGACAGGTCTCAGATTCCTGTTCCCGCTCTGCCTCCAGGGCAGTCCGTCAGATTCCAGATCTTTCAGCGTCTGAGCCCAGCATAGGCTGCCCTCTTAAGCCCACCCAGCTCACACATTCCCCAGGAGGGGTTTACAGGAGAAATGGTTTAGCTGGGATGTCTGTCCCTGCTACCCCTCAAGAAAGGCCCCTCGAACCCCCAGGGGCCTGTGCTGCTCGCGCCCCAGCCCCGAGAGAAGGCATACCAGAAAGTAGAGCCATCAGGGTGTCAGACAGAGGCTCGTGGAAGGAAGAGATGTGCTCCAGGCCTTCCCAGCCAGGTAGGGGTAGAGCGGGGACAGGAAGCGGTGACAGCAGCACTGATTTCTGTAATTCTTCTTGTCAGTCCCAGTTAGTGCCTGCTGGAGGAACTTGTCTTTCTTCTCCTTCTTGGGGGAAAAATGAACTCCCTTATTAGGGCCCATCCTAGGGCCTGCTACATTCCTGAGACAGAGGCCCTGATGGAAGGGGCCTCCGCTGGGGGTCGGGAGCCCACCCTGCCTCTGAGTGACCCACCCGCCTGGGGCGCTGTTTCCTCTCATGCTCCAGCTTCACCAGCCTGTCCTGCCCCGCAGCTTGGGTGAAGGTGTTCTGTAGAAGTCAAGGGCAGTGAGCTGGGAAATAAGACACCTGAGTTCTCTTTCCACCATCCTGAGACCCATTCCCCCACTCTGGCGGCTACCCCAAGCCCTGCCTCAGTTTCCCTATCTGTCAGATGTCATGCTGCTTCCCCCACCCGCTCCCACCTCCACCCGCCTTTCAGAGGCTTGTGAACATGTTCAGTCAAACCCCGTGGGGGTCAGTGGGCTGGGCCCAAGGAGGCACCTGGAGACTGCGGGGGAGGAAGGCCCCAGGCCAGGTGTTAACACTTGTAACAGGCAGGAATTACAGCTGGCTGGGGCTGGGGCTGGGGCTGGCGAGGAGCTGAGCTGGCTGGAGGCTGTTGATCCCACAGACAGACAGACAGACAGATGGGCAGATTGGATGGCCAGGCTTGAACCGGGTGGTCTCCCTTCCAGGGCAAGCCTTTCCCTGGGGGGACCTGGGGGGGGTGGTAGAAATTAATCCAGGTCTCTTGGAAGTGAGTTAACAACCCTCCTGCTCACCCCACCCCCACTGTGGGCGGGGCTTGCTGTCCAAGGGGAGGAAAATTGGTGGTGCATCTGTTTGTATTCTCAAGATGGGACCACATTTGTTTTAAAACAAAAACAAAAACAGGTCAAATATTATAATAATGCCAGGAGCCTGGAGGTGAATTATGTTCTTGGAAGAACCTGCTTTAGCATAGGGGAAAAGGCCGAGGGGACAGGGGTAGCAGTCAGGGAAAGTTCTCCCAGAATCTCTCAGAGCATTTTTCAACAGCTCTGGGGCCAAGAGGTGAGCGATGGGTGGAGTCTGGGCTGGTGGAGTCTGAGCGTCACCCCCACCCCAGGGATCTTGAGGGTCCCGAGTCTGCGACAGCTGCCTGGTGAGAAGACCTTTTAGGGGTGGGGATGGGTCAAAAGAGTCAGGAGCTGAACTGTGGTGCCAAGTTCTTTGGTGGACACGCTCCCTCTCTGCAGCTTTCCCAGCGACAAACCCAGCCAGTAGCCACACTCTGGCCTCTCAGTGCATGTTCAGTAACTTATGAAGGTGGAGAAACTGAGGCAGACGGGGTTGGGGGGGCCCTAGATGGAAATCCCCAAAGAGTAGGCTCAGCCAAGCCAGCGTCTCTAATCCGCCTCGCTACACGACGGAATGTTAAAAAGACCTGAGTGGTACTTGGACAGATGAAGGATTAAGAAGACCGTGTGGGCCCCTGAGAAGGTGGTCTGGACACGAGATAGGGGAAGGGAGCTCTGAACTTAGGGTTTTCTGTAGACTTGGAGTAGGTCAGGGCAGGAGAGGTGAGTTTTCTCAGAGGAGGATGGAGCTAACAGACTCTTCCGCCAGGAGAAGGGAAAAAGGAAGACCTTCCTGGCCTGAGAATGTGGTGAGCCCAGGAGTGGAGGAGGACCTGGTCTTCTAGACTTTTCCACCCACCCTGCTGGGAGGCTTAGAATCCT